GGGCTGTGCCAAAGACCCACAGAAAACTGACAAAATCTTACTCTCAGGCACCTGAACAGGGGTGGAGGAGGCAGGACACCAACTTCTCTACTTGTGTGCTGGAGAGTAATGCCAACTGTCTCTTAAGTTCAGTGGGTTGTTGTGGGGTTTTTCCAACTCCAGACACATGTAGTAGCAAGAACTGACTTTGCCCTTGAGATTCAGCTCCCTGACTTTGAGCCTTTCAGTGTAAACACTGATTTTTTTAATATTATTTTTTTTTCCCAACTTGACAGCCAGGCCAGTTCCAAGTGCACTAATTACTACCGCTGAAGCCTGAGGAGGAACTTGCAAGTAGAAAAGCCCATTTCCAGTGTTATGTGAAAACTAACATTTGAAGAACACGTTTGTGTATTTAGAGCATACTGACTTGATAGTTTGGTAAGGTGTTTTTATGTCAGCTCTTACCTACTGTAGCAGTTTTCACTGCATCAGGAAACTGACTGCCAAGATGTACATTTTTATTACCCTGATGAACTTTATCAAGCTGCATGATGGTCTTCTATGTACATACTGAACCTGTAAATAAATTCCATTTCATTGGCCATTTCCTTGAAGTAACATCATTCTTGCATCTCCCACAGCAGAGCCACAGCTGTGAATTGCTCAACCACACAAAATCTGTCATCTCCCCTGTGTTTTACATAGACAGGGAGACTGGCTCTTGAATTCCCACAGCACGGAGGCACAGGGCAGGTGTTCCAACTGCACTACTCCAGCACTCCATGTTGTGTATCCTACTAGTGGTACATAGTGTTTGGTAGGCATTAGCAAGTAATGCTGAACCTAAGGAATTGCAACCAGTACCTGATCAACAGGTTTTTAACAAGGCGGGCAGAGAAAGACAGTTGGGCAGCAACTAAAAATGTACCTTAAAACAGTTTTTAAAGAGTGACAGGATCCTGCAGCCACAAAAAGCAGAGGCAGCAGCGCTTGCAGCAAGTGAATTACAGCCTAAAGGTGAATACTTCATAAGGAAATGTGCAAAGTCAGTGTTACCACATTTGTTTATTTAACAACTGCAAGTGTTTTGTGACATACATCAGTTGCACAAAAAAAGTTAAAGTTCTCTGTTTAGTGGTACACAAAAAAGCTTCATAAACTTGAAGTCTAACAAGAAGTGGAAGTGTAGTTCAGGAAAGTGCACTTAAAAGCTGAATGCCAGCAATTTAAAAATAGGTTTTATGCTCTTTTCATATTAGGTGATGCTTTAGTCACAAATTGAGCTACACACAATTTCCTTGATTTTCCTTTTGAAATAAGCACTACAGAGCAGTAACACAGCAGCCACCCTTCCCAGTTCTTTTTCCTCTTCCTGCTTTCACTCCTATTCACTCCCTCAAGTCACACAGAAGTGATCGTGGCTGCTGTGTTACTAGAAACACAGCAACTCCAAGAGATACGTGATGTGTGTGAACATGTGTATGTTTTATATATACCTTTCATATATAAAAATACACGATATAGTATAAAAAAAACAAAAACCTCCAGACAAACTCTTACTCTCACAGTAGCAAATATATCAACTTATTTTCACAGTACTTGGTTTTTCTAAGCTGGGACACCCCGTAAAATGAGAATTTCCATCCTCCCAAGCTGGTATTCATGGTGATGCAGGTCAGTCAAAGCCATTGCACACATGTGGCAGCATGGGAGAGTCTGCAGGGAAACACTACTACCTTATCTTTCCAAAACCACAACCATTAAGGGCTTCTTAGTACCTTTCAACAGAATCTCTCTCAAGCAGCTGATTCTAAAAGGCCTGGGGTTCAGTCATTCAATGTGCTGAAAGGAAAGCTATAAAAATCAATCACTGTTTTCAGCTGGAAGGGAAGGGTCATCTCCTTACCTTGCCATTCTTGGCTTCACAGACAGTATATGGTACGTGCCTAGTGCAGCAAGGTCTTGCCTGTACTAAAGGTAAGGTCACGAGCACACAAATAAAGGCTGAAGGATATTGCATTCCATGTCAGTACCACATCCGACCAGTGGATCTTAGCTGAAATTCAACCCAAACTTGAGTTTAGTTGTGTATAAACAATATATACCCTACAAAGTCAACTTAACCAGGCATACTGATCTCTCTTCAGCCACAAGAAAGGATACAGTAATTTTAACTCTAGAAACAAAACTTAGATTTATGCAAAAACCTGTTTCATAACTAGAATTCGCAGAACAAGGTTTAAGGCCATTAGAAAGCAAGTCTCATCAGCCACAACTTGTATGCAGCCAGAGGCATTAGGCCATTTTAGAGCAACTCGGGTTTGCAGTTTGCTTTTACTTTGCCTCAGTTTCTGCCAACAACCTCACTTTCCTGTGCTGGAAAGCAACCTCTGCCAAAACCCAAACCAACCAGCCACACGAGGAAAACCTGCAGCATACCTCAGCCTGAAGTCTTGGGGTGAGCAGACAAAAACCAAACACATTTCCTACTCTTCATTCACATAGATATTCAATTCAGTCCCACACTAAGCCTTTACCCTGGGTGTCCTTTTGGGCAGTGGAGCTACATCCCAGCCCCACGCACACTGTTCACCTTCCTCTGGCTCCAAGTTCAGGGCCTGCTTGGCCATTTGCTTTTCTGCCAGGGAAAGCTCCATTTAAAAAACAGGGGTCAGTTGCCTGTTGTGTTCTTCTCTTTTTGTTTTCACCCACCTGCTCCATTTGTCATATCATTCTGTTCCGACAGCTATGTAGGCAGGGAAGGAACAGCTCCGAAGGAAACTGTAGGAAAGCAGTTCATAAGCACGCACAGAGAGAAGAAAATAAGGAAAATCAGAGTTAACCTGAGTATCAGAAATTGCTACAAAACTTGGCGTGCGCTTCTTACAGCCTTTGGCACCGAAGAGACAGGTGAGAACAGCAGTAGTAAAGCCTAGGACACTCCTGTGCAAATAGAGTTGAAACATTTCTACTCATAACCTGTTAAGAGCTTAACTTCTAAGCCTGAACAAGGCTGACTTCAAGCACAGCTGAAATATTTCACATCAACCCTGTGAGAAGACAAAACAGAGGAGGATGAAGGTAATGAAAACCTACAGATACAGATGAGCTACTTTCCAATGCCAAGACCAGAGGAAGCAATCTCACATATATTCAAGGGAGCATTTTAAGAAACCAACCCCCAAAGAAGTCAAATGACTTGTTCTTATATGTTGTTTTCAACAAATATTGTCAGAGATCTACCCCCACCCTCACAGATCTCAGGATGACAGGATAACCCGCAGGAGACTTTGTAGAAAAATCAAGTACAGCCCTAAATATTTCGCTGGGCGGGGGGGGTGGAATGACACATGGCATGGGGATGCACTACCACAAACGCTTATATCCTCCATATATAAACATCCAGTTATCCACTCATCAGCATTCAGTGGAACAGGATATAAAGTTGAGTTGAGCAGAAGAACCACTTCCTTCCACTTCCTCTGTAGGATTGCCATGGAATAAAAGGCAGACAAATGGACTGTCTCGAGTCACAGGTGCTTGGCACAAGTTGCGAGGCAGTGGAGAAGCCATCGCACCAACACACAGCACCCACTTCAACAGCACAGTAACAACACCTTGTCCTCAACGGGGCTGTTCACATCACCTTCCCCTCACCTACGGGCACCACATGCTCCCAGCACCCGGTGTCTCGGAGGTCCGGTGGAGCAGGACAGGGTCCTGCCTGTAAGGCTTTGTGGTGTGAAATGCAGTGCACTGGTCCAGCTGCTTCCTGCTTCTGCTCCCAAAGTCAGGGGCAGAGAGTTTCTTCAAACCTCAGTGCATTTAGCAAAACTTTCTTAGCAAACATGCTCAAGTACAGCAATAGATTCATCAGAATTTAAAAGAACATCATAGTCCTTTCATAAAATTGTTTAAAATAAGCCAACTGATTTGAAAGAATACATGTTTTCTTGGCAATAAAAATCCGAGGAAAAGAAAAGGTGTTTTCAGACACAAATCCCAATTTGTAATCAAATAAATCTGATGGTTGCATCTCACATCTCACAACTGTACAAGTCATCTGATAATATTCCATGTGTGCCAAATGATGTCCTGTGTATACCAGCCTCTTCCCAGCATACTGAGTAGTCTCCAAAGTGCTGCAAACACTGGCTGCGTCCCTGCTGGTTTACTCCCCCACCTTCAGGCTTTTCATCTCACAAAGCATTATATTCTCTGTATCTTTAGTTTTAACTCTACACTTCCAGTTGGCTATTTTACCTTAACGGCACTTACTGTAAAATACAAATAAAAATTGAACATTTAGGCACACAAAAAAAAAAAAATCTGCCTTTCATCTCTGCAGCTGCATAGGTGTCTGCTAGGGCCTGAGCCATGGCCACGCTCTGGAACTCTGGGCCACAGCCCCTTGAGGACTTGGCTTCTTGATTTTCATGATTCATAAAGGTAGTTTTCTTCTAGGAAGCAGACACTTGACTGCTTAGAGGAGATCAAGCTGGAGTTTGGTTCTCAAGTCTACTGCAATCAAGACGTGAAGAACCACCACAGTGGTAGCCTATCTGTACATATGGAAAAGGTTGGTTGTGTGATCTCTGCCTGTCCCCTCCACCGCAGCATATCACAGAGGATTGAAAAGGCAACGCAAAAGTGCAGAATAACAGTATGTCCTAGGGCCCAGAGTCACAGACATACAATGATTCATATCCAATTTCTCTTTTCATTCTAGGAGCCACCTGCCACAATAAAATGATGCTCCTGGGTCGGTTTTAATTTTTTTTCCCTCAAAAAAACCAAACCAAACAAACAAACAAAAAACCAAAAAAACCTCAAAGAAACCAGCAAGAATTTGCTATCGTTCCAAATTTCACCGTGCAAGCTGTCCCTGCCTCCTTGAACTTGAACAAACTGTACAACACAGGTCCCTGTCAATTCAACCAGATAAATTACTCCACTAATTAAAACCTCTAGTAAGTAACTCGGAGAGGCAGAACAGGGCAGAAACCCACTGGAAGCATTTACTGTTTGGAAGGAAATGGAGCTGCTCCAAAGGGATCTAACTCCAGTGCCTGTTGCTGCTGGCTCTGTGCACTCTGCACAACCAGTTCTGTGAAGGGCACTGCACCGAAGTCATCTGTTTTCAGCCCCTCACCACCATGAATGGCTCTGTGCAAGGAGGTCTGCCTTGGTCTGCCAGCTGCTACCACCGCTCCATGATCCCCACAGCCATCACCAAAACCTTGGTGCTGGGGATGCCGCAGCAAGTCCGGTGGGTGGAAGGGTTTGGCTCCGAAAGGATCCAGCAGATTTTCATCTGCCTGCAGAGGGTTGGTTCGATCTTTGCTGTCGGTCAATGCAACACTGATGTTCTCTTTGGAGTCTGAGATGGTCAGGAATTCGTTGCTGCTCTGTGAGTCCCTGCGGCCGGCTTTCTTGTGCCTGCGGGCTCTCTCAGGTGTGCGGTAGCTGGGTTTCAGAGCCTTCTTTGTGGTGGTTGGGGTGCTGTGGTGCCGCTTACCATTGTTCTTTGAGACCTCCTGTTTCATCCGCCTTTGCCGGGAAGAAAGTTTCTGCAGGTTACGCTGCTGCTTCACCTTCTGCTGCTGACTCTCTGTGATCTCATCAAAAGGAACCAGCCCAAACAGGTCCTCTCTACTCCCACCAGTCTTGGGGAGAAGGGAAGGCTGAAATGGGGTGCAGCCAAAAATATCAAGGCTCCGTGGAGAGGTGGGAGAAAGCAGAGGCTCAGTTCCTGTCACTTGGCCATCTTGCTGAGACACTTTTTTGCTGAAGGGGGCTTTTGTGAAAACATCGAAGTCATCCTGCTCTTGGCTCAGGCTGGGAAAAGCTGCCTGAGAAGCGACATCTTTGTCCATCTTCTCTCTTGCCTGGGGCTGCAGAGTGAAGAAGGGCACTGCCCCAAACACATCAAATTCTTGGCCAGGGTTCACTGGGATTATAGTAGTTGGCACCTCAGACAAAGACATATGCATTGAAGCAGGTTCTTTGATTTCACCGCTGCCCACACCGTCTCTGAACCTACTACTCAGGAGGCCTTCCACAGACTTTTGCTTAGTACGATCAGAATCAGAGTCAGAACTTTGCTTCTCTTCCTCCTCTTCCTCCACCTCTTCCTCAGAGTCCATGAGGAGAGGTCGGTGGCCTAAATTCTCTGGTTCTGTATCATTGTCATCATTGAAGTCTCCATTCTCTCCCTGCAACACTTCTTCATCCTCCTGTTCTTCTTCCTCACTGCTCTTGGGAGAAGGAGGATCAGATTCAAAATCACTCTCTGACTCATCACCACCTTTTGTCACTTGTCCCTCTGCAACCTTCCTCCCCGACCGGGGATCTCTAAAAGCATGGCTCAGCCTTCCAGCCTTGGTTGGCGTCCCTAAGTTATTTCCTTGATTACCACCCGAGTTACCAGCTGGTTTTCCAGGGGAACCTGCAGGTCAAAGAGAAACACAAAACACTCAAAATCAGCACTTGTTCCACACACACCATAGCCACACAGAGCAAACATCTATTCTGTGCTGACTGAAGGAAATGAGCTACAACCCGTATCTAACATTTCAAACAACAGTCAAAGCTATTAAGGTAACTTATCAAGAGATTCTTCAAGACTGACCCACTGTGCCAAGGTTTTTACCATGCAGTCAGATATGTGTGGCAATACTGACATATTCAATACAGCTTCAAACCTTTAGTAACATCAAAGCTCCACAATTAGTCCCTTCTAACTTCTAGTGTAGCAATACAAACACAAAAACCAAAAAACAAACAAAAGAAAAACCCACCAAACCCCCCCAAACAACAAACTACTGCTTTAACTTCAGTTTGAGAGCAGAGTGTTCTTGTTTGTTTCTAAACAAGATCTGTCCGTCCAGTTTCTCTACAGGAAAGAAATTTATTTATTTTACTCTGACACCTTCATCCCCATCTTTTTTTTTTTTCTTTTTATAGTAAATATCTTAAAATTAGAGCTAAAAGAACAATTCACTGATGACTTTTGCAGGATGGTTGGCTTAGAAATACTTTGCACCAATTGACAAAACTGAGCAAGAGCATGCAGAGCACGCATATGGCACTCAGACTTGGGCAAAACAAGTTCTTCCCTATGTTGGAGCCCTTTTGCTGCAGAGATATTTTCAGGAGCATAACTGTCAGATTTCTATTTGAAGAGAAGGAGGAGGAGAAGGAGGAAACACATAGTCTTAGCTGGGGAAAGCATATTTGCTCCCGAGATGTCCTTTTCTGTAGGACACAGATCACATGGCAACCATGCAACTTTCAGAAAGCGTAACTGAACTGTAGAACCAACTAGGTTGGAAAACACCTTTAAGATCATCAAGTCCAACCTTTGCCCCAGCACTGCCAAGGCCACCACTAAACCATGTCACTGAGGCCTCACCTACACAGTTTGAGAACACTTCTGGGGACAGTGATTCCACCATTCTCTGGGAAGCCTGTTCCAATGCCTGATCATTCACCCTCTTGGTGAAGAAATTGTTCCCAATCTCCAGCCTAAACCTCCCCTGGTGCAACTTGAGGCCATTGCCTCTTGTCCTATCACTTGTTACTTGGGAGAAGAGACCAACCCCACCTTACTACAGCCTCCTTTCAGGTAGGTGAAGAATTAATGCTAGTAACAGCAATGATAATTGACCTCTCTGCACTCCAACTTTCAGTAATTTCTCTGGGTCTGCAATCCTTCGAAGTGAGGCTGTATTATAGTCACTCCAGGCTGAGTATTATGTGGGACCCAACCTTCAGCTGGGGACCAGAACAGCAAAACCAGCTATATTTCCAGAGCCTATGCTTGCCTGACAAGTGCACTGACTTCATGGTGACCCTGCTAGGAACTGCCACATACCAACACACTGCACCAAACGGTACAGCCCAGTGCTGGGTACTTACTTCTTACACCTCTCCTACCTGACATAAACCTGAGGCAGGGGTTGTTCCTCATTAGAGCAGTTACTAACAAGCTCTGCCCACAGCACAGCACTACACTGCTGACCCTCTCACCTATCCAAAATTAACACAGCTTGGTTAAACAACTGCTGAAATGTAATCCACTCCGTGTGTTCACAGGATTGAAAAAGCTACAGACGGATGTGTGCACCAGTTATTTCTCTGAAACAAATCCTCAGCCAGAATCCAGCTCCGACTCTCTTGTTCTTGTAACATCCAACAATTTCTCAAGTAATTTCTGCTTTCACAAGGAAATTAATATGCAACTTCCACGCCAAGTCAGATTTTTTCTTTCTATGCTTCAGCTTAGACGAGAATATTAGGTTTGACAAGAAGCATTTTTTTTCCTTTTTTTAAAAGGAATTAACAGCTGATTTCTTCTTCTAGTCACCATTCTGCTCTGTTGCAATTACACTTAAAATAGTAATAAAAACTCCTCAGCAATGTATTTCATGTATGGATTTAAAACCAAGATGACCAGAATGACTAAAACCATCCGGTGATTAAAGCTTTGAACTGTTTCTTCTTTGTTTCTGGTGTCAGATTGCTTCTTATCTACTGTAATTTTAAACACTACATACTTACTTTACCCACTAAATTAGAATCTGGATTATTTGGCTGCTTACTTTAGATTTCCCAGAGGTACAGCCTTCACACTGCACTCTATAACCCTCTAGCTTCCAAATCCTGCTGTTCCCAGTATTTACTGAAACACTAATATTAACATAAAAGCAATTAGATTTAAACAGAGAAGAAAGGATGTATTTCTAGGTTAGATGTTAACATCACTTACACAAAAACACTACCAAGCCTTTTCTGTAGGGCCATATCCACGAGTTCACACTCCTAAGCAATGATTACACCTTTGTATGTAATTCCTATGCAGAAAACTATTTATAACATTTTGATTTTTTTCTTTTTTTAAGACAAGAACTGAATTACAGTATATCTAATAGGCCTGACTTCCTAAAAGGTTTAAATACTATTTTTCAGTAGCTGTCACAGTCATGTTCACTGGAAAACAAACTGCAAAGGACAACAACAAGGCAAAACCCCAACTACCAACAGCTGCTGATTTGCTGAACAAGTGATTTAAGCCACAGGATGTTTAGCTTGCAGTAGTAGACCTCTCTGGACAGAACACAGATCAAACAGGACTTGACAACACATGGCAAAACCCTTAAAGCGGTTCCCAAACCATACTCAATGTACTCGTACTGGCACACAAGCCACTGCAACAGCTCTTAATAGACCCACGTAGAACTGTCACTGCTGACAATACGCAGCAAATGATTTGGGGAATCAGACATCCAGACAGCCTAGTTTTTAAGGAACCTATATTAGCATCCTACAGTTCCTCTCTCAAGTCTAACTACCATCTCTAGAAAACTGGGATGAAGTCAGGAACTATACAATAAGCAATCCCCCTTGCTGGAGATTCCTGTTCTATAGTAAACACAGAGCCTGTGTATTCAGAAGTGTTTGTCCCTACTCATGAGAAAACATCTTCTCCAGTATCTCCATTCTAAAGCCACTTGGAGATATTGCAAGAATATTGATTTTTCCAGCCACCACATCTCATCTGCAATGAATTTGGTTTAGTCCCAATAACAGGGAGAAAATAGCAGCAAACTGGTATCAAAACCAAACCAAACAACCAACACTATCGTCCACTGAGCAGAGGTTTTAAATCTATGACAAGAATAATTTCCTTCTCCATAATGCCATTCCCCCTCTTCTAAAGAAGTTAGCAAACTACATAAATAGAGAGTACTACAAATAGAAACAATGCTCCAAAATGAAAAGGTCTCTTGTCTAATGACCATTTAATGTTCTGACAAAATACATGTCAAAAAATGAAGCATTCTGTCAGGTAGATTTCTTCTCTACCTCACTGGATGCAGAGCATGTTCACAGGATCACAGACTGGTTTGAGTCGGAAAGGACCTTAAAATCATCTAGTTCTAACCCCCGAGCATGGGCAGGGATGCCTCACTCTAGACCATGTCTCCCAAGGCTCTGTCCAGCCTGGCCTTGAACACTGCCATGGATGTATATATTCAGATATGTATTTATAGAAAAATGCTGCAGAATGTTGAGTAACATCTGTTTGTAATGTGCTGTTTAGATTACTACACTTCTAATCAGGTTTGCATCCCCTAGGAGACAATTGTTCTTTGCCCAAATGCGAGCCAGGTGGAACATCTTTAATCATATAAGATGATCCCAATCTTCAAGGAAATTTCTCTTCTGATGTTCTTTTTCGAGACATCCGATTATAAGCGGATGAATTCCCTCCAACAACTGCAGTAATTACATGCCTTCTGCTGGTTCATCATTTTAGGGTATTGGGTGGGGGGAGGTTAGTGAGGAGCTTTAAGCTTCCTTGGAATTGGTAACATACTGCCACCATCACTGCACAACAATTTGCCACATGTCAGGCCCAAGGATTACCGACCTGCTGCAACTAAATCTGTACTGTTGTTCTGACAGCAGCCAGAGCAGCAGCTGCTGAGTATTGTAGTGGATTTACCCTGCTTACCTCCTTTATTTTCAAGAAGAAAAGGGGTGAACAAAACAGCTATTGCTTAGATATTCTTTCAAATAATTAGTGTACAGCTTGAAGAGTGTCATACAACAGAAGTGAAAGGTGACTATGACTGCTCTAAGATTTGAGGCGAAGAAAGAAGTAATCATTTTGGAGAGAAAAAGCACACCACTGGCCCAGCCCAAGCCCACACAGATTTTGTCTTCTGATGTGCGAGTAAGTTCAAGTTACTTCTGAAACGCTAGCTAGAAAAGCTGAAGTCTAAAAATTATCTTGATGCAGGGAAAGATCCTGAACTGGCATTCAGCAAGCAGTATGAATACGTGAAACCATAGCCAAGGAGATGTTGTGAAGTAACATAAACAGTATTTTCACTGAGCACAAAATATTGACATGAACTTATTTTAACTTTCAAGTTACCTACATCTGGGATATTATACAACAGCCACATCAAGTTTTAGGTCTGGGCATCTTTTAACAAGCAGCTCAAGTACATAAATACCCAAATTAAACATGAACTGATGACATGAGCTGGTTTAGTGTTGCAGAGAAAAGGATCTTCAAACCTTTCTGTTTCTTCTGTTCTCACGTTTGGAGTTTCTTGCTCAATTATAATGAGTTCTACTTCAGTTAAAGTTCTGTCGGGTAGATTTCATGTCATCTTCTATACTCATCTGATGCAGAGCCTGTTCATAGAATCACAGACTCATTTGGGTTGGAAAGGACCTTACTCCAGACTATACAGTAGCCCAAAGGCTCCAAAGCCATGGCACAGAAACTTGCAGCAGTAGTTTGAAATCTAGTTAGAAGAAGTACATGAAAAAGTAACTACATGATTACTTGTCACCCATGTTTCTTCATGCCAGGACACCATACTTTTCTGCTCCAACACAGTGAATGCTCATAATCAGCTATTGCAGCAGAGTCCTTTCAAGGCCATGTTGTGGCCAACTCTCCAGCCCGTTTCTGTTGTCCTGCTGCAGTCTACACAGCTGCCAGCAGCAACTTACATATGCCATCACAGAAGTGCTCTTATTCCAAGACAGAAACCTATTAAGGATCATGTGAAGACACAATCAAGTCTTTGAGCGCAGGAAGCCTGGAAGTCACAAAGAAGCTGCTATAGAACTAAGCTTATTTTTTATCCCCAGTCTCTGCACTGCAAACATGCATGCAGTGACAGGGAAGCAGTTACTATGTACATTAGAGAAGGAAAAAGGAAACTATTAGTGTAAACTAACATAAGATGGCAAAAGGCCACCCAGCAGCAAAGTATATTACATTGATGACATTTCCTTCTTCTAATTTGAAAATAGCAGAAAATGTGTATGCCTTCTGAGTTTCTGAAACTCAACTTAATGTTAACAATGGACGTTACAACACAGCTGGCTAACAAAAACTTGCATCAAAAGGTTCCATTCCAAAATGCTGACCACAGGAGCCAGTTCTTCCACTGCCACCATCTAGTGTTTCAGGCATTCAAGAACCATATCTTGTTTTCCATGTTTGGTGCCTGTCCTCAAGGCCCCAATTCCTGGCTATACAACTGGGCTTTCTTCTCTCTTTTTCCGGTTTGCAAGGTTACTTTCCTTTCTATTAGATTGAGCACTGGAATTCTCTGTCAAGCCAATTTGCATTTCCAGCCATTTCAAGTTCTAAGTCATTACTGTTTTCCACATTTATGCATAAAATAATGTGTATAGCAAGTTTACACGCAGTTCTTGTGAAAACAGTTTTATTAGGCTATATACCACGTGTGGCTAACATTAAGCGCTTCTACATGGTCAACTGTTTCCCAATATGAGGAACCCAATAGTATGCCAATTCATTTCCCACCACTGTTTGCCCTCTGCGCAGCACATCAAGTGACACAGATGTCATTGCTGGCTGTTCTTCTTCTTGAATAGGCACAGAAGCTCTGGTGGAGAAGCACCCTTAGTCCATCCAGCTCCAGGTTCTCCTTCCCAGTGATCCTTGAAGCAGCAATGGCCTAAAAAACCCCTCTCTGCTCCACACGAAAATCCCAAAGGCTCACCACTTGCAGCACCCCACAGTTCTTTCCAGCAATGCCAGAAGGTTTCAAATGCCACCCTCTACATCTCCCTTGCCTCGCCTTCCCAGACACATGTAAAGTTACCTGCTAGCACTTACTTTGCTGGACTACCAGCACTTCATGTGAAATTAAGTCAAAAGGTGATACACCACCTCCAGCTTCTTGCTGCTGTCTCACTCAGATGATGGAAGTTAGTTCTGTATTTAACTGCTTTTAGCAGAGAACCCTTAGGCCTCAGAGACAAAATAGGTACTCTGGATGACTCTAAGCTAAACTCCCATATACAACATTTTAGAACCTGAGACCCAAGTTGCACAGCAAAAATAACCACAGCAGAAAGACCAGAGTTCCAACCTCAAGGTTAGTAATATAGTAGAACACCTCTCCAACAGAAACTGTCATGTTTTAAGGAAGCAGAATTTTCTCTTTATTTTTAAATACTCTGTATTGGTAACACCAATCATCTCATCACAATTCAAGCAGTCAAGATTCAGTAGTTAAACCTGGGTGAGTAATGATATTGCTCTGTAGTTGCATTGTTAGCAAGGAGGTGAAACTTCTGCTCAAACTAGATCAAGATGAGCTCTCACCCAAAGACTGGAACTGTGCTCGAGGTATTAAACCCCTGTTCCTATTCAGGCACCTTCCCTCTGATGCCCTGAGTAAGGTACTCACGCAGCTTACTTCTCAGTTAAATCTTTTACTATCACAAGGAATAAACCAGAAAGAACATATTATACAGATATATGAAGTACAAGAAGAAATATTAAATCTTAGGGACATTTGCAAAGTGTCCTAAACAGCCCTCAACTAGAAATAAAGTATGTCTAAGTCAACACTGCTCCCTTTTATTCCTTTTCTTGCAACAGCTCATTTCAAGACATTCTGAAGAACTCCATGGGGAAAACAAACCAGCTTTTAACAGACAGATCTTCAGATTTGAACATTTATCAAATCCGATTCGGTTGTTAAGTGTAATTCACTGTTAACACAATTAAAAAATCCCTTCCTTGAAATCAAGCCAGTATGTACACTTATTTAAACTCCAGTTCCAAGTCTACAAAAAACAGGCTATTGAAAATGTACCTGGGTTTTTTTTCCCTCCAGTAAAAGACACAACAATTTACAAGCAACTCAATATTTTTCAAGAAGTCTTTTTTCAGGCATAACTCAATTGGTTTGGTTTTTCCCTTTTTTTTTTCTGAAGAAAAAGCATCTCCCCTTGGTTTTCAGTATGTCAAGAATTAAAATCAAAATAAAACATCCAACATAATATAGTGAAGCCATTTATTTACAATATAAGCTATATGGTAACTATCTGAAAAACAGCAATAAGCAAACACATTTCTAAGACCTAAAGTAAGGAATGAAAACTAATCATCCCATGACACATGGGTATGAATACTCAAGACAGGAGACTAAGTCACCATCTCAGATTAAGTGTAATTATTACTGTTCCTTTGGCATGTAATTTAGGGTCACTTATACAATAAAGCAACCTCTTAATGAAGACTCCAGGGTAAACCCTTTCAAACTAGAAACTGCACCTACAGAGCAAACGTTCCTTCACTTCAGAACTGCTTTCACATTGTACTCAACTACTGAATATTAAGAGGATAACAAAAGGCAAACTTTTCCTTTATGAATGAACAGAAGAAAAAGAGAAACTGGAATGCAGTAACATACCAAACAGAATTAATTCAAGTCTTCTTAACAACAGAAGCAGACATGGATGCAGAGGTACTTTCACAAATTGCCTTGCAGAATACAACAGTGTTATCCTGTTTACTCTTCACAAGAACACTTACGAGCATTAAGCAGCCCTAGTAGATGACCTTCAGGAATGCAAGATGAAAGCAAAAGGAAATACAGAGACTAACTTAGGTTGACCTAAAGTGATTTGTTTTAAGGCATGTTATCTGAGCTTTTAAACTTCTGCTAGAAGAGTTTTTACAAGTCATGTTAAGGCACCTTTATCACAAAAGCACTCTCAACAAAACTTACATAGGAGTCTAAGTGGCTCCATAAGTTACTGAAGCTCTTTCTGCCATTTAACTGTCATGTAGGTTTGAGTCTGCCACAGGTATCAAAAGCAATTATTGAAATGTTGATCAGGCAAACGTTAAAACTGGCAATGAAATCGCAGGATGAGGCACAGTTACATGTTCACAGACAACATCCATGCAGTGTTACTTTTACTTCCATCCAAGGTTAAATCAGTCAAAGCTGAGCTGAAACACAGTTATGAATCTCCCTCTCCCCTCCAAATATGCAGATCACAAAATAATTTGTTTGGACTCCATATGGACAGAAACTATGCATCAAATGCCGCAGAAGCTTTACAGTTTAGCTGGAGGACTGAACCTGAGTTGAAAGCAGACTACATGGAAGTAGCAAGATTTGGTCTTAGCAAGTAATCTGCTTTTAGCAAAAGCACTTCTAGTGCTATGCAAGTGATTCATGCTGTACTGGTCCAATGTAACTGCACTGTGGAGACCACCTACTCTGTACACTGTACAAGTACCAGGAGTTGGGCGTGCAGAAGTGGGTTTTTGAGATAATCAACATTATTAAAAATATATTCAACCCATCTACTATAATGAGGTAGCATCATTCTTTGGTCATTTAACTGGATGTACATACTTCAACAGATACATATATATATGTGTGTATATATATATATATTTGTATGTATGAGTGCACATATATGAGGTAGTGATGTTACAGATGTAACTTGCCTGGGTGAGAAATGAAAGGAACAGAACCAAAGGGATCTTCAGGAGGATTTTTCTGTGGAGCAGAATGTGGCTCCACATTCTTATCTGAAGATGCTGTCCTGTCCAGCAGCCTGTCTGTAAAATAAAACAAAAACAAAACAGAACAAAACATAAAATAAAATAAAAATGGCTGGTCTTATGCCTATGCAAAAGGTATCTACTGCATGGGGTTAGGGAGGAACACATTTGACCAGGAGATTTATTTCTTTTTTTTTTTTTTTTTTATGTTTTAAAGATATCCTGTGTCTTGAATTCATAGTTCTTGATCATCCAGGAAAATTCACCTGTACAAACCTCCTGTTAATCCCCCTGTTCCCACCAAAAGCAGCATGGATTTAGTGATGCAGTGCTTTAATTGAGGATCTCTCACATTATATGCAACCTCCTTGCTCTGCAACAGAAACTATTAGTCCTCCGTGCTTTTGAGGTTTTCAAGTCAGAAACATTACACTTAGTTCAAACATAGAATCATTCATTTTATTGCAGTTTTGGCCAGCCTTTGCCAGAAAAAGAGGAAAGTTGACAACCACAGCAAAACAGCTAGGAGCACTTTTTATTAAGCATGTAACATCTGTTAGTAATCAGAACCAATTTGAGTGTCATAATATAGAGAAACATGGCATCTGTTTTGTATGGTCTTCAACCCTTAAGACACAATTTTCTTTTCCTTTTATAAAGAGACAGACAAAAGGTTTTTAACACAGTCAGATACTTGACGCACTAGGAATGGTAAACACAAGTCTTCCTGTCTAAGCTCTGATTCTAACATTGCTGCCAATTTAAGATCCAGCCCATCCAGCCCATCCACCACACCTCAACACAGGAGGGTCCAGCAAGGCCCACGAGCCACTGAGCAAGACCTCTGAGACAACATACTGCACCTTCAGCAAACACCCTACATGCTCTGTGCAGAAGACACAGCTTTTCACTTTCCCCCTTTCCCACAGCAAGCTGCTGCTCTTCCAAACCATTTGCAGCACAACCTTCTTGACAATTTGCCACTGTGGAGAAGCAGCTCAACTACACCCTACTGACATACCAAGATTGCATGCATGTTTTCTATTCAGTTTTTCAACACAGAAACCAGTAGGCTTTACTAAGACAACCACTAGGGACTAGAGAGCAAGCTCATCTCCCTCAGACAGATGCCCATTAACCCTGTGTACAAAGCCCAGGAGTTTTGGAATTACACACCATTTTTCACAGACAAGTGTTCTGTTCATATTCATGTTCATAAAGTGAATTGCCTTTTACCTACTAGTAGACTCTCCAAAGAAATGCAAGTGGGAGTTGTTCCATTACAGGCAACCTCTACGTAAAACAGAATTCCAACTGGGGGCTCCTCGAGTAGAGATTAAGTAGTTGCTCTCACCTCAACATATACATAATGGAATAGGCAACAACTAACCGACATGAACAAGATTATCCTGCAGTGACACAGTCATGCAGGCAAGAACACTAGCAGAGATGCACCAGCAACTGGCAGCTAGATGTTCTATACAATCAGCTTTGAGCCCTGATGACAAAAAACTGCTGAGCATCACATCCAACAGCAGCACTTGTTCCTGGTTTTGAACTCACACTGCACTCTCTCCTCAGGAAGGTTTTGGTTTGGGGGTTTGGGTTGGTTTGGTGGTGGTTTTTTATTTGTTGCGGGAGGTGTGTTGCTTTACAAATGCAGACTGAATCAGAGATGCTTTTGCTCTGTTATCCTTACTGTCTTGCCTCCAGGGGAAAACCCAGTTGACTGCTGCACAGTTTGCAGGCCACCAAACTCTAGAATAACTTTTAAGGGTGCAACAACTTGAACTACCCTTTGGCGGCATGCAAGACCATGCAAGTTCAAGCTCACAGATGATGATCAGATCTCCCAACGTGAACAGCAGGGCCAGAGATAGTGGAAAACAAAACAGGTTTAAGTGCCAAGCATGCAAGAAAAATGAGGCAAAGTGAGAAAACGGAAGGCTTCAGATCCTCCATGGCACCCAGGTGTATACGTACCAGGACACACTTCCCTCGAAAATAAAGTTTAAAATTTGTAAATTCATCAGCTCTAAGGCTATTGGAAAAGGAAGAACCATTTTCCCAGTCTTCTGAGGCACAAGTGTCATTTGTCCACCTTGTAACAAGATCCACTTCTCTATCAGAGAGTGTCTGAGAGATAGACAGATGGGTCCTCCAGCTTCACACAAGCAGAAGTGTGGGACTGTCAGTATTAAACTGTATTATGCTCCAGATACCACCTCCTTAAAATAAAAAGCCAAGTTTTCTTCCCCACCTCAGTGAGTAAACACACAAATGCAGCCCAGACTGCTGCCAGAGACATGATCATGCACCATGTCACACAGCAGACTCTTCTGTAGAACAGTGAAGTTATTCAAAACCATGAACAAGAAATCCAGTTGTTCCTATGCGAGTGAGAGGCCCAAGGTTCCTCAGCAGACAGCTCTCAGGGCCTTTCTGAAGTACAAGCAGCAGTTACACACAAGGAAAGCCTGTTAAGAACCACAGCTCTTTCCTGCACAGATGGCCCTGGTAGCTCCTTCACACTGTACGTACTGCAAAGGATATAGACCAAAAGCTTTGTAGGCTGTGGACCCATAGATGTCTCTGCTGAGGCACCAAGAGGATTCTGGATGCAACAAGAATCTTTGTTCAATTCACTGTGAAGGCTGAGCTGTATTTTTGCCCTGGTGAGAAAGGCGACTCATTTTCTTGGCTCCCAACTCTGCACAGATTACGAAATGGTTACAGGAGCTCTTTGTAAGAAATCCGTTTCTTCACAACGATGTCAGAATCTCAGCATCATGTGTTTTTTCTGGACCATCCTTAATACCAATAATAACAAAACCAACAGAGAAACAGTGTACACAAAAACAAGGAACTCCATCACGTAACTCCATATCAAAACTCTCCACGAAGGTGCTCAGTTTAGAAAGTTTCATTCAGCTGCATGTTACATTTTAGTGCAACTGTCAACTTTTTAATATGAAAACTTCCACAAAGCGTAAGCAAGGTATTCTTGAGTTCCAGGACTTATCCTCCTTTTTAAAGGAGAAGTGATTAATCATCATAGCAATACCCATCACTACACACACTATGACATTCAGCTACTAAATTCAGTAATGTCAGCCTGACAAAAACTCATGACATCTGGATCCTCTAACAAAGGCTGTGTAGATTTCATTACTCATGTACTACTGTCAGGAATACAACAGCTTTAGAAATATTTGACAGATTTTAAAATAGTTATAATTTATGGATAAAGCATCAGCTCAACAATACGAACCAGGCTTTAGGAAGTGGAAAGAAAGCATTAGTGTTTTGAATGCTACTTAGTACCACACAGCATCACAGAAAGGCAACTTGTATAATGCTGTACATGAGTTATAAAGTACAGGAGAGCAACCAGGTTTAGTAACACAAAAGGAAAGCATTTATTAAACCTGTATCTTCAGTTCTCTTTCCTCTAGATGGAAAAATGATTTACAATAAGATCAAAAACTGAGAAAAAAAAATTAGCTAGTAGTAAACAGAAAATCTCTCTCATAAGAGATAACCTACACCCAAAGAGAATAAAGCCTTAAGATACATCTGAGGAAACTCCAGGAAGCAGTATACAATCAAAGACAATTTTATAGGTATAAGCCTTAATTGTGCAATAAATCCCCCAATTTCTTGTTAATCCACCTGAGAAAGTATCAGTAGACAAAATATAAGTATTTCTGCTTTGACTGAAGCAAAGGCATTAGCACTGCAAGGCAAATTTGTACCTCTTTGGCACAAAAAACCAAGTCTTGAAGTCTTTGATGCACGTATCTATGTGTAAACACAACAGACACTGAGATTAAAACTAGCAACATTCCCTTCCCCTGGATCTCAAGCCAGAAGGCCTAAGAAGCTGGAACTGCACCTCACAGTATGCATGACCAAGCCTGCCATCTAGTGTGCTATTGGCCTAGAGAGTCATTTTAAATTTTTGCACTTTCTGTATTCAAGTGACCAAAACCCCCTAATGCTGGTTACTACTACGCAAAACTATGCTATCACATTTATTTTCTAATACAGCATATGAAGTTTATTGTCACATCTGGCTCTTCTGTGCATCGAATTACCTTTACAAAGAGCTGAACCAAAACCATGCTGCCCAAGTAGATTCTTTTTTAAACTTCAGACTATTTTCACACATGTAGTACAAAAACTGGAGAATGGAATTGTAGTAATAGTTAACTGTTCCTTCTGCTGGAGATATAGAGACAGCAGTTCCCAGCACTTAGCTTTAAGTTATTCAAGCCTTCACCAAGTCCAAACATTTGTATGGTTAGAAGATATATGTGGCACTTAGGAAGCATCCAAAATAAGCATGTGTTAAGCAATTCAGAAAAGGAAGTAATTCCAAGTAAAAAACATGGAGATAACTGACTTTAAGAGGAAAAAGTTTATTCAGCTATTGCCATATCAGAACAATAAAGCAGCCCTTACATGTAGCCACTCATCAAAAAGGACATTACAAAACATTATCATAATGTTTTAGATCAATTTTCTTTCAGGCATTTTCAAAGGACAGATCCAACCCACAGAACCATCTGCTCTGGTTTGCAAGAAAAAAAGCTGGAAAGGAATAAAGCAAGCAGCCAAACTTCTTTTCCTGTCTGACAACATACCTCTGCTATTAAGAGCTTCTGATAACCAAGGTGACACAAGCAGTATTTACGAGCTAAAATATTATCATTTCTGCAGTATTTGAATCAGTAACTACTGATTTTAGATGGCAAGTTCCTATTGCACACATTTTCAAAATGGAAAGAAAGACAGGCCCAACTCCGCCCTCAAATGCTCAGAAAGAATGTTCCATACATAGCCTGCACGGCCCTTGTGGGAAGTGCCGAGCAACTACAGAGCCCTTATTTACTGTGAAGCAAAATAAGCCTTCAAGCGTCCCTTACTTGATCTTAGCAGGTCAAATTCTCTGTCCAGCAGCTCCTCCTCTGTCAATTTGGAAAAATTGTCCTCTCCAAATGGGTTCCAGCCTGACATATCAGGTGGGTTATTGATGCTCTGCTTTGGGTAACTGGTGATTGATTCAGCATCAGGAATATCTGACCTGTAAAGTCAGTCATGGAAGCAAGTAAACAGAAACATTACAGGATTATCAGGGTGACAATCTATGACATGCTTCACTATGCCAAAACATTACATACAGGTAAAACATACGCATCAACAGCTTAGCCCAAAAACAGCTGAAAGCTCATTTAAGAGTAAACAGATTGCATGAAAGATGTGGTTTGATCACATCATTTCTGTACACAATCCTTGGACTTTTACCTTCCACTTTATTAATTGTAGCTAAAGCACAGAATCCTTCACCAAGGTGACATGCAAGGGCAAAAAACTGTATTTCACCTGTTGTCATTTCTATATTGCCATGGGAGACTGCCCTTGTGTTCCTCAGAAAAGCCTACTAAGTTTAAAAGTTTTCATCAGTTCTCTTCAAGGTTTTTTTCTTGGCAGACACGTTAAGCATCTTTGAATCCCACTTCCATCCAGCTATTACAATTAACCAGTTGACGTAACAGCTTCTGCTTGTGTTAGCCTTATCTACACAACCAAGGAAATCTTTGTTGACCAGATTAGTTTTTCCCTTTCATGCATATTTTAGCAAACTATGCCTACCGCAATGCACTGCACTATGTCATGGTAAAAGAAACTCATCGCCCCTTCCAGAGGGGCATGGAGCTGTTGGAGCAAGTCCAGAGGCCACAAGGATGATCAGGGGCTGGAGCACCTCCCGTATGAAGACAGGCTGAGAAAATTGGGGTTGTTCAGCCTGGAGAAGAGAAGCTGCGTAGAGACTTCAGAGCAGCCTTCCAGTATCTGAAGGTGACCTACAAGGATGTTGGAGAAGGACTCTTCATCAGGGACTGTAGCAATAAGACAAAGGGTGATGGGTTCAAACTGAAACAGGGGAAGTTGAGGTTAGATACAATGAAGAAGTTCTTTCCTGTGAGGGTGGTGAGGCACTGGCACGGGTTGCCCAAAGAAGTGCTAAATGCTTCATCCCTGGCAGTGTTCAAGGCCAGGTTGGACAGAGCCTTCAGTGACATGGCCTAGTGTGAGGTGTCTCTGTCCATGGCAGGAGGTTGGAACTAGATGATCCTAAGGTCCTTTCCAACCCAAACCGTTCTGTGATTCTATGATTCTAAGACAAGAAGTCACATTTCTTGTTTGCAAGATCAATTTCATGCATTGTAAGATCAATTTCATGCATTGCAAACCATTACTAACTCACAGTCATTGACTTGAAACTAAACAGCAGGGTCAAAATCTTCAAATACATAGAAGAGCAACTGGAAATACACAAATTTACTTCCAGACTGGAACAATTCCTTTCAGAAGTTAGTTGTGACTGAAGTACTCTGGCAATAGACCTGACAAAAGTACAGCTGGCAGGTCTCAGATACAGGCATAGAAGTGCAGGACAATGCTCTCTGCGAGGGATTAGACTGCGTAATTGGTGAGATGAAGCCAAAGTAGCCACAGTGAAACATGGTATTATATCAACCCAGCCTACAGCAGGAAAATATTTTGCCTTTTACTCTTTCAAGACACTATAATCTAGTAGATAATAAGAATGACAGCAGCACCCGAAACATATAAGCCACACTACTCACTGAAAGCCTGTCTCACAACTGACTGCACCAAAGGCTGCAGCATTCCCATACTTGCAGAGGACTTCTCTTTAAATATAGTATAGTAAGAACCTATATCAATCTATAACCTAGTTCATAGCATCAGAGAAACTGGACAAAGCTGTGAATTATTTTTAAAATCAGTAATGGAAAGGGTCTTTCACTCTACTTTGTTTTTCGTAAGAACAAATGGACAAGACATTCTTTATTAACCAACCTAAGTCTGTGGGGCCCCTGTAAATAGACCGTCTCTCTTTTGATGTATACTCCATGATGTGAAGTGCTTAAGTCATAGAATCATAGAATAGTTAGGGTTGGAAAGGACCTTAAGATCATCTAGTTCCAACCCCTCCACCATGAGCAGGGACACCACACACTAAACTATGTCACCCAGGGCTCTGTCCAACCTGGCCTTGAACACCACCACGGTTGAAGCATTCACAACTTCCTTGGGCAACCCATTCCAGTGCCTCACCACCCTCACTGTAAATAACTTCTTCCTTATATCTAATCTTAACTTCCCCTGTTTAAGTTTAAACCCATTACCCCTTGTCCTACCACTACAGTCCCTAATGAAGAGTCCCTCCCCAACATCCTTATAGGCCCCTGATCAACAGACACAAGAGTTAGAAGCCCTAGCAAATAATTGCCCACTATAAGGCCTTTCTTCAAAGAATGAGATGACTTCCACACACCCATAACTTCATTCAACTGACCATCCTAAGCAAAGTGGTTAGCAGTCAATTCCTGGAGTAAGTCCATGAAGAAGAAAAAGTGGAAGATGGGTCTTTTAAGAAGTTGTACCAGAATCATCTGTTAACAAGTTGTGTCCTGCTTTCCTCCCAAAATATCCTTTACCATTAAACATCAATTATCCAACTGCTTTTAAGTACATTTCCTACTTCCTCCTTCTTACTACTTCCTAGTAACTTGCTTCCTACCGAAACAAGTGATTTCTGAGGAAAGGATTCAGCAGTGCTCATCACAATTAAGAACATGTGCAGTAAAGTAACCCTTAGGTATATCTATGTCAGAATACTTGCCTGCTTGCAGGGTAGGGAGAATCTGCCACTGTTCCAGCATGCACTGGCAGTGACCCCGGGTAGGAGATTAAGGCTGGTGAGAAGTCTTGAGGAGAAGTGATATATTCAGGAGATTGTGCCTGTTGCGACCGCTGTTGCTGCTGAGCAAGCATCTGCTGCTGTAGCAGAGCCTGCTGATATTGCTGCACCTAAGATAATGATTGTGTTACTAAAATTCACACAGGCCAGTGTAAATCTCTTCTGCTCAGTAACACTACCAGTCTTGCAGTCAAATGCACTAACAGCCACCATGCTTCAAAAAAGCACAGTAGCTTCAGCAGAAACAAGAAGCCAGACCTGTCCATTATATAGGTGAAAAACTGCCCCAACAGGTCAGTAATACCATTTTTCTCTTTCAACATACTACCACTTAGCTTTTTGCCATTATTGTAACATACTGAAGCACTTAGTTTTTATCATACCCTATTCTTAAATATTAATAACCAAAATTTCAGGACAATTTCTCTAGATATTGATTATGCCAGGTAGCTTTCTTCCTTTTTAAAGTAGGCATTTGATGCCACCATGCCATCTATCACTTTGGGTTAGCTTGCCCCACCCCCTCAGCTGAATATCATTTTAGATGCTGAACTACACAATATTTACCAAATTCACAGCTCATTACAACTACTCACAAACTTTTCCTACTGAATCTTCACAACAGACTTCCAAACACAGCTTGTATTTTAAGATTGTACCATCTATGTTCCACTCCTGACATACCATAGCAGGGTATTGAGACTGGGAAGGTTGCTGCTGGTACACAGACTGCATCAACAGCTGCTGTTGGACCATCTGCTGGTGCATTGCTTGTTGATACTACAGACAAAAAGAAGAAAACAGCTTTAATAAGTCATGATCCCCCCTTTAGAAATACCCAGATATTTAGCAGCACCAATTAAAATCACTTCTGTGACTCAACAACATTTTCCAGTCAAGTTATCACATAACCAAGAATCAGCTTGCAATTCAGCCTCTGCATTTTAATTACTGTGTTTGCAAGCTTTTCTATTTTGGGGTTTGTTTGGGTTTTTCTACCCCCTGCCCCCCAACTAGTACCAGCCTGTTTAACCAAAAATTAAACTACATACTCAGCACTGCCTTTTCTAAAGCAGGCCAATTACCATCCCAGCTTTTGCCATCTTCACCAGTACTAAGCCCCTTTGGAAAACACATCAGCTGTGCTTTAAGAAAGCACAGCTTCTCAACAGGGTTAAAAAACAAAAAAAGTCTCAGCAGTAGGCATCTTGAAAGGATCTGAAAGTTCTCGTTTTACTTAGCTGCTTCTTTGTAATGTTTACAGTTATTTATGCTACACAACTTAAGCAATTACAGCTGACTGTATGCAAGCTGGACAGTGTTACCCCATGTGGTATCCATTAAACATACAGGCAGAGAGAGCAACTACAAAAAGGAAGCTCTTCACTGACCAAAAGAAACTGAAGAAAGCAAAAAAAACCAAAATCCTACTCAGATGGTGTATGTACAACCATCTACTGCAAGCATAACATCATCATCTAGGTAATTCCTAACTTTCAGGTGCCAGACAGGGAGTCTTTGTCAGGGACTATAGTGACAGGGCAAGGGGTGATGGGTTCAAACTGAAAGCAGGGGAAGTTCAGGTTAGATATAAGGAAGAAGTTTTTTATTGTGAGGGTGCTGAGGCACTGGCACAGGTTGCCTGGACAATTGGTGAATGCTCCATCCCTGGCAGTGTTCAAGGCCAGGCTGGACAGAGACTTGGGCGACATGGTGTAGTGTGAGGCATCCCTGCCCCTGGCAGGGAGTTGGAACTAGATGATCCTAAGGTCCTTTCCAACCCAAACCATTCTGTGATTTATCTCCAGCACATTTATGCATATACAAAACCTGTATTTGGGCCACACAGTGATGATTCAAAGCAAGCTAAGGTTCAGGGTCAAACTGCAAAAGCTACTTTCAAGGATAAGTAGTACAGTGCCTATGAAGAGACAAATCAGAGGTAAAAGAAGGGGCAGGAGCAACAATCCCTTGCTCTCTTGCCTAGCAGGAGAAAAACTGGGCAGCAACAGCAGGTGTATTCAACTAGCACACCATTTAAAGCATTATTAACAGGCATAATAGGTGTCTTTTAGAGATGTGTCTAATAGATTCAACTTGTACCTGCTGAATGTAAGCATCCTGAATCGCAGATTGGTGCTGGTGATGCAGATGGTGCAGCTGCTGCAGCCTCCAGTCACCCTGCTGCAGCTGCTGGAGAACTCTGTTCTGCTGCGGGGGGTGCTGGTTGGTCCCTTGGGACTGCAGGATTTCTTGTCCGTTCCCTGGTCGCATGGTTCCTGGGATATTCAGACAACACTACTGACACATTGATCTCTAAAGTTTAGCTAGAGAGCTCCCTGGCAGTTAACTGCTTCACATAAGGCTTCATGGTGAAACAGTTTATCAGCATCCCTTCCCAGTTTGATAATATACTTCCAGGCCTGCCAATGCACTGTTTACGCTTCAGAGATGTGGGAAGCTTCCTTTGGTGTCACGACACAGCAAGCTGGGTTCGAGACTTCTACTGTACTAACACTTAAGTTGTACCTTCTACTTTCTCAATCCCTAATGCTCCACTGTCTAGAAGTTGTTTACACCTGGGACACTGATTGGGTGCTTTCCCAATACCATACCTAAGCTACTCTTCCTGTACTGCAATATGCACATAACATCACCAAGTGCAACTGGGGAAGTATTCGAGACATAACTATTAAAGTGAATATTGATCAGAGCCATAACTCTTTCTGAATGAGATAAAGACAAACTCAAAGGATTTACTGAAAACCCATTTCACCCCATTCTCCCTCAATTACTCCTCCACTGCCCCTCTACTGTATTCCCAGTGCAACGTGAAATGCATCAGTCAGTCATCAGAGAAATGAAGTTTCAACATGGCTTCAGACTATATTTGTTGGTATCTCATGACTTATTGAGGTACAGGGAAAGTATTTTTCCCACTACAATGAAGGCAGTTTATTACAGAACTCAGTACTCAAATTGGCTCAGTACTTTCCGTGAATTATTTAAAAGTCAAGACTGAGCATGAACTTCTCATGTCCACAGTGGAAAAGTTAATTCAAAATCAGTGGTAAGCACAATGAAAAAACTATCTTTCCTTCTCTACCATTTGCATTCAGTTTGTGAGGCACCTGGTCAAGCTTACTACTCGCACATTTAGTCTTTTGGAAAGGACTAAAGTTGGTTTTTGGCAGATTAAAAAAAAAAAAAAAAAAAAAGAGCAGATTAATTGGAGTTTTAAATGTTATCCCTACTAGAGCAAGAAGGAAAATAAAATGCTTTTTTCATTTAGTTTGGTCCACCCTTAGACTTTGTTATATTACCTTTTTGCCCATGATTACCAAATTCACCAGGAACTTGTACTTTGACTGGAGTTGCTGAGCTCTGTATGGTCAGCACACTAGAAGTGACAGTGCTTGAATTGGCCTTTGGTCTTTGTCGTGGTGCAATTGAGGTTTCTGTTGGTCCAACAGTATCTGTTATTCTGAAATGGCAAGTTTTTCCATACGAGAGACTTGGTAAAAAAGGACTTTCTTCAAATTAGATAGAGTTTCCCTTAATAGCTCAATTATGTCTTAACCATGTTCTACTCTACTTCTGAGTTACATTTTAATAACTTAAAACTTGCTTCCTCAACTTCCCACTCACCACCCACAGCAGCCACAGGATGTATGACTGCTGCAGAACATGATTCAGATAGAGCGGTGTAACAGACTTATTCCCAAGAGGACCATGACACTACATGAGATTTCTCTGTGTAAGCTTTCCTCAGTTCACAGCACTGAGTTCAAGTTAGGGCCAGTGTTTGAGTCAGCAATCCTAAGACTAGAGGTATGATTACTGTTCATATGTACTGGAAATTGGTTAAGAAGATACCTGTTAAATCAACTAATTTCTACTTTTTGTTAGAGATTTAGCCTCTAGCAGTTGTAAACCCATAAACTGCTCCAAATATTTGCATCTTCCCTGAGGTACTTCAGAGCCGTATAACAGTCTGCCAGGGTAATAAAGATGCTCAAAACCAAACTACTTTTGAGGTTTAATCCCATTATCAGGTTATAATATAGGCTTTTTTTTAAACTGTCCAACTGCTTAAAAATACTAATTCACCACAGTTTTGGTTTTTTTTTTTGCTTGATTATATTAGCAAAAAGAAGAAGTGAAGCCACATTCACTGCTCACCTTGCTTTTATTTGGCTTTTTCTAGCAGCTGCCTCACTAGCTGTCATGGGTTCAGGGAGAGCTGAAGGGACAGGAGAATTCTTGGGAAAAATAAATTTGAATAAATTAAAAAAAAACAAAATCCTGAAAGAAAAAAATCATTATATATTGAAGAGGAACACTTGGGTTCAAGTTTTTCACGTTATAAGGCTTCATGCAGAAGCCTTGCATGAAGATTAGAAGTAGATTAGGCTGTAGATTAGAAGTGCTGTAATTTAACAGTACCTCTGTGTTCTCTCATCTGTCACGTAAGTACAACAAAGGCATGACTGGTTTGACTTTTGTCAACTATTTCAATTACACACTACTAACCAGCAACAATAAATTAAAACATTTTCTCCAAATGTCTTCTTGCGTCTGCACAGAACAGAGACTTATTCTAGCTTCAAGAACCAAACTAAGGCCTAAACTTTGCATGTACCAACAGCAGTTTTTTAGCCCACTCAGCTCTTCCACCACAACAGTAACTCAGAAGAGCCATGCAGCATCTAAGTTTCCTTAGTCCTTTAACTTATCCCCATCTCAGTCAAGCTCCTGAATGAACTGCATTTCACATAAACTACAGTTTACCAACAGGAGAGGGGGGGAGGAATAAAAAAGAATAATCACAATTTTGGGAGAAGGAGGAGGAGGACTACACACATTCTACCTCCTTACCTAAAGGACGCAAATCTACATCTGGTCACAAATAGTAGAGAAATACTGCTTCTGAAGACTACTGTCAGTACTGGAATTAGTCAAGAAAAGTCTAGGAAAATACAGGCATACTTCTGACTTTCCCTGGAAAAAATAACCTGCTGTCAAAGTCAGCGATGTGCCCTCAAATTCTACTGCACAGCAATTAGATCTATGAATGAGATCATCTTGGAGAGAAAGTTCAGGTTTTCAAAGTTCAGCCTCACATGGACAGTAAGGATCGGACTGCAGACTAACCAAGGCACTATCCCATTTGCCTTCCAGCTCAATTTAGTCCTTCCAAGGGATTAACATAATTCCTAAGGATGCTTAAAAGATGTTAATCCAGAACAAACATAAACGTTCTTGACACTACAGTTACGACATTAAACCTTCAATTGTCAACAAGATCTGTAGTGTATTTTGTATTAATTGTATAAGACACAAAAGATGATTCAGGTATTCGTGCACAATCAATATAATTTATGAAACTATGCTCTTCAAATTAAAAGATTATTTGTTTAGAGAGCTAGTATTGCATGTATGCACCAGAAGCTTGAAGTGCTCTACTCTATGTTTTAAATTAGATTTATATGTAGGAACAAGGTTTATGAAGAAATTGATGTAATTGCTCAGCTGGTTTGATAGCACTTTTCTCAAAGCTACCTACAAAATACACTAAAAATATAGACAACATTAACGACTTACAATTAATTATTATTACTTACATTCATATTAGACACTGGACAATCCTTTTTGGCAAGTTTAAAGGCAAAGTAAGATACTTGGAAGATATCGGGTCTCTGTTCTTGATCTGGTTCAAGCATATATCCTGCAAAATTCACAAGACCAAATTATCACTGTTGGATATCAAAAAGTCTGTTGAGTCAGTGTGCTACCAGCAGGAAGAAATTCAGCAGCTCTGGCAAATGAGCTTACCCCAGAAAATTAGTTTTATTATTATGTTGGGTAGGGTTTTTGTTTTGGGGTTGTTTTTTTTTTTTTTGAATACTTTTTGTCAAGTCAATAGTTTCCAGGGTCAAATACAATTAGAGAAGATATATGTTGTTTGGTCCTTCGACACTCAGTTACAGAAAGGGTAGATAAACTGAAATAGTAATTAATAGCTTCAGAGAAAAACTACTTATAACCAACTAATGGTGCTAGAATTTTCTAGGGTTAATACGGAATTCAATGTAGCTAAGAGATGATTCGCATATCTAACTAAATCAGACTATGCTTCGACATCATCTCTTGTGATGATCTGTGTTTTATTTGACTTAGGAAGCAAAAGAATTGTCATGCTGCCCAGATACTTACTTATCAAACAGTGTATACTATGAGAGTATCGGGAATTGTCTGGAATAGTAAAACTTCCATCACAAATAGCAACTTGACTTTCTCCAAAGGGAAGTGAAAAGAAACAAAGTTTATAAAGCAAGCAGCCAAGTGCCTGTAAAAACAAATACAGGCACTGTAAAGGGATGAGGGTAAGACTTCTACACAATAAAGCAGCACCAACAAGAAATAAACTGCATCCTAGCTACAGCTGACCCTTCCACTGTTACGTAGAAGCTGCATTATGAAAAGCTCCTTTGATGTGACAAGCTGATATATAAAGCAATGCTAGAAAGGCTTTCTTTCCCACTGATGCCTACGTTAAACAACAAATTACCAAAATCAGAGCATACCCCCAGAGCTGCATTCACATTATCGTATCAGCCAGAGATACCGCTAGCATTTCTGATGAATTTAGTCTTCATTTACCTCATTGCACATCACCTAATACAAACACCTTCCCCTACCATGCTGCCAACAGGCTTCCACAAGAAGTCACCGGTGACTATCAAACAGTAGCTGGAGTGGACAAAAAGGAAACAAATTCTAAATCGCGTCCCATTTAACTCAAAACCATCATCACACATGGTATTCACTTTATTTACAGCAGAGCTAAGTACCAAAGGTACCTCTACTATATTCTGTATTGTAGAGCTGCATGATATATTTCCCTTTCAAAGAATTAGTTTTTCATTTAGTATATGCTGGTTTTAGCTTCCCACACACCCCTCTTCATTAGTTCCATATTTCATAGTACCCAATTTCTTGCTTACCCAGATATCTGCCTTGGTAGTAATTGGTTTTCCTCCATAAAGATTGATCATTTCAGGAGCTCTGTATGACAGTGTTGTATACCTAGGAGTAAGTAAGTAAAAGAGAACATTGACGAACAGCATGCCTCGGAGCTGAAAGCATGTTTTCCTGCATCTGCCACACACACACCATTCACACCCAAGTTTCAGATACGTGCCTGGAACTGTATTACTCAAGCCAAGTCACTTACTCCATTTGCATATTTGGGGTAGCAACATAAAATTAGCATACATAATAAATATTGAGTCACCTAAATTTGCTTTTAATGTTATTTCCCAAGCACACAGACTTTTGCAAGAATCACTACACTTAACTATTGTGCTAGCCAATCATTCAGAAGATGTAATGGAGGAGTCCTACAAGAATATTTCCTACCACACATTGAAACATACAGAATGCATACTTCAAAAAACTAACATCTCAAAATAATTACTACACTGGCAGTCGAAGTGGTTTTCAGAGCTAGAAAAAAAAATACAAAAAACTACCACTTTATAACTCAAGAACAAGTAGCCTATATTTATTCTTACGCAGTAATTAGCCCAACCAAACTTACACATTTTCAAAAGTATGTTTTAATAAAAGTTAAAATATTTCTCTGCTCAGCCTTAGAGAATGACCATAGACCTTACTCTAAGTAAGATTCTACATAAACCCATTCCAATGCTTATTTGCATCAGTTATTTTTCTCTCATGCCATTAACTGTATTAAAAGAGCACTAATTTAAAATACCAAACTCCTAAAATGGTCAGTAGCCAGAGATATTTTTGAATTATTTAGTTTCAGAGCAGCATGGGGTGTTTTTTTCAAACAGCTTTATTCTTCAGAGTCTCAGTTTTGCAAAAACCATCTGTGAGCAAATGCAAGAAATCTATGCTTTACTCTATTTATGTCAACATTAGTTCAAATTCAACCATTAAGTTCAATTCACATTAGTAAGATACAAGTACGCTGCAGAAGAACACATTGAGTTTGCCAGCAGCACAATCATTGCTTACAATAAGCCACTTAAAAGTGAACTTACTTTTTAATTTCTTCTTCAACCACACTAACACCATCTTTTTGAGGATTAAGGTATTTGTTAGTGGCACTGCCAAAGTCACAGAGGACATAGTTGCCACTATCGTTTAACAATATATTCTCCACCTTGAAAGGAAATCAATACACAGAAACATCAGATAAAAATCACAGCATTAATTTCCAAGTTAACTGGTACTAGGTGTTCTCACACACAAACATGGAAGTTATCAGTAAAATCAATTGACAGACTTGGCATTAGTAATAAGTTATATCTTACAGTTTAGTCTCTCTACCAAGGACAAGTGCTTCCTTAACTACAAGTCAGTCTTAGTGAAATACCTCCTAAATTCCCTATCGTTTTTAAGTAGATCATTGATTTCAACCTATATGTTCCTTATTATTAGGTGCATACCTTTAAATCCCGGTGAACTACAGGTGTTTTGCACTGATGCAACCGCGCAACAGCTTCACAGGTATCACAAAATATTCTCATTACTTCTGACTCAGTAAAGCCAGTCTGCAAGCGCTGATTCATCTGATTCACAACTTGCCCAGCTAAAGGAAAAAGGCAATTTTTTTTGTTATTAGCTCCTATCACACACAGAAGTAATGACTTAATGATATGCAAAAAGCCCACAAATAAGATGCAACAAAGTTTTCCACAGTCACTGTATTTAAAAAAACCAAACCTGTTTTTCCCCATGTCTACTCTTGTACCATCATAGATGGAAGAATTACTGTCTCAAGTAACTCAGTACCTGCAGGGCCTTGGTGAGCATTCCATCTAAACAGGGGTGCTTTGAAAAAGACAAGCCTAATGCTGTCTTTAACAGTTAACATCGACATGGCTGTTTAGCACTGTAATTGAGAAGAGCACTACTAGTAGGGAATCAGACGTGAGCTCCCATAAGGGTACAGAAATTCACCCATAAAGCAGGGTAGAGGTCAAAAACGTGGTCACTAGCTTTCAAGTTATCTCCTTATTCCCTTCCCCAAAATCATCCTTGGCTCCTTGCACAAACTACAATGTTTACTGCTTCTATTGCAAATAGAAGCCATGTAAATCTCAACATAAAGTATCCTTTAAGCATTACAGATAAGGAGGTGAGTTTTCTAGTCTCAAAAGATTTGTTTTCTACTTGCAGCATTTGTCCTAAAATTTCCAAAATCACATATTTGGGTTAACCACTATTTTGTATTATAAGGTCAGGGCCTAGTTACCCTATATTTTAGATGAACTTCAGAAGTTGAATTCAATGGCAGGTTTACTCTGATGCATGTGTGAGGTGGGAAGAAATTTCATCCAGAAACTACCTGGTTTTACCTACTGTTTGAAAAAGTTACATTGTGAAGTGGGACCAGTGGACTATTATTTATTTTTTTTTTGCTAGCATTGCCAACACTAACTGTGCTATGGTCATTTCTACCAAGTCACCAGTCAGGTGAGAGTAAAACATCTAATGGTTATCTAAAATAAAATCAACACAGGCAGGACAGCAGTGAAAAGCTTGCCAATCTTTCCTATTGATTTCAGTTCTAGCTACAGGCTGATTAACATGAACAGCAAAACAGAACAACTTCACTTCGTACTTAAATCATTTCCCTGTTTCTAATCATACTTAATTACAAAGTCATGTGAAACCAACTGGTACCTTTTCTCAGTGTTCAACAGCTATGTGACTAAGTAACAATGCAACACAAAGAACTAGCTGGATTCCAGCTCTGAGATACAAATGTTCAAGGTCTGTATTATGGGAACAATTTTACATATAAATCCTAGGTGATCAATACAAACATATTCCCTGCATTTACTCTAAAAACAAAGGAGCTGACTTTTACCTCGACAATACTCCATGAGAATGAGCACCTCCCAAACATTGTCACTTATGGAGTTAACAGCACAGTCCAAATAGCTCACAATATTCTTGTGCCCAGACAACTCTTTCTGAAAAAGAAAATACACATTACACATGAGCACGGAAAAAAATCAAACAAATAAAATATAGTACAGGTTTTCAGACAACCCTTTGTCATTTCCAGTTGTTAGCCCCTGCCCCACATTGAGTACTCCTGAAGTACTCACCATGAACCCAGAACATAAGCTCATCACTGCCAGCAATGTCAGTGACTGCTGCACACCGAACACAATCATTATTCAGAAATGAACATTTAGGTGTTTCTTGTTGGACAGTGCAAAAACATCTCAGCTACTCCATTCTAAGCCAAGGTTGGCAAGTAGTAATAGCTACAGCCTTGATATGTAGGAGATATGCAAGAAGCAAGCTACTTGTGCCCATCCTAAGCTGAAGTGAAAAAAAGTCTCACAGTTCTTAAAAAAATCCACAACTGTCTTTGGTCTGAAGGATTAGAAGTTATTACACACAAACAACTGAAGCTGTCCCCAAGGGAAACAAAAAAGAAGAAAAGAACAACCCAACAACTTTTCAGAGCCATTTTAAATGTGGAATTAAACAATGTTTATTAAGTGTTGCCATCTGTATTACAGAGGTCCTGCCTATAAGGTAACTTGAGGTTAAGCCTAGAAGTACTTCTTAGATCACTACGTAGCTGCTATGATTAGAACATGTGTAAGCTAGAAATATATAGAGGTGGAGACAAATACTCTTCCTAGTATCTGACAGAAGGCAACGTAACAGATTTTCTCTTGCCTAGTCAGCACCACTCGGTTAATGGAGGCCTTGAGAATTTAAGTGGCACCTGCAGAACTGCAAGGAATTTCTGTTGCCTGGGAACCAGATGTTCTGACCAAATAGACAGCAGCATCAATTTTTTAACTGCTTTAGAAGCTAATCATGCACTAACCCTGACCTCAGCAGTAATTTCTGAAGTGCAACATCAAGACCACAAAGTCAAAAGAGAAGGTGGTCTAGAACCCATTGTTATTGAAGAGGGATTTGGTGTGTGTTACAAATTAATACAGTCTCCAGTTACAAATAATGAGCTTCTTACCATAATTGTAATTTCTCTCTTACAGATGTTGAGATCCGGCACATTATTAACATACATTCGTTTTAGTGCACAACGTATCCCACCATGGGTACGTACCAGAAACACAGTTGAGAAGCCACCTAGAAAAAAAACAACAATTACAAGCAAATGAAGCTACCCAAGTTTTTGTTATTCCTCTAGCCAACATCACTACACACTAAGAAGTGAGTAAGAAAATCTATGTCAGTCACTGAGGAAGGAGTAACAAGCACTTTGGAAGTTAGAAAAATGTGCTGCCTCAATCTGTTCCACATAGGTCAAGTATTGTTGGGGAGAAAAAAAACACACCAAAACACACACAACACACACAACACACACAACACACACAACACACACAACACACACAACACACACAACACACACAACACACACAACACACACAACACACACAACACACACAACACACACAACACACACAACACACACAACACACACAACACACACAACACACACAACACACACAACACACACAACACACACAACACACACAACACACACAACACACACAACACACACAACACACACAACACACACAACCTGCCTCAATCTGTTCCACATAGGTCAAGTATTGTTGGGGAGAAAAAAAACACACCAAAACACACACAACACACACAACACACACAACACACACAACACACACATTAGAAATTTGCTATTTTGTTAGCACACTGAACAAAAATCTTTTAAAAACATTTTCAAATTCAAATAAATTTATAAAGCCTAGTATGAATTCTATGTATTCAGGTATCAATCCTGAAGTATTTACAGTCATCCAGAAATCTCAAAGTGAAGGTAATCTCCAGATCTTCAAAATTCCTACATCCCCCAATACTTGATAAAGGTTAATATTAATTCTCTGAACCTACATTTTACAACATAGAAATTAAAATACTGAGAAAATAGCAACATGGAAAGACACTGAAGTCATGCAACTTTTCTCAGCATAGCCTCAAGACAGGTAGAGCCTCCCTGCAATCACAGATGGTTCAAGCAACCAACTCCCAAGCAGGGTTTTTATTCAAACCCATCCTAAACACACACTTAACCATTTTCCCCCAGCCAGACTCATCAGAAGCCTTCTCAGCACAGCAGCAGCAGCAACAACTGTGAGCCACGTACTTGAGCTCACCTCCCAGCTTCCCAGTACAAGGTTTTTCTTTTTCTCTTCACTAGTAGAGAAGAATCACACAGGCAGGAATTACACACAGAAGCCAAGTGAAACAACCTACACAAAATACTTCCAAACAGGCAAATTAAAGGAAAAAACACCACTCAAGTTTTATCCATCTCTTGTTAGCTTTAACTAATGCTGGAAGCCTCCAGCAGATGCCATTCCCATCCCCTCCAGGTTCTCACACACAGCTTTGCCACAGGTTTAGGAAATCCACCTTATGGAAGAGCCCATACTTTCAACCCATACTTTCTCTAACTGGCTGCTGTTAGCCATGTATTACCATGGGAACTTTCAAATAGTGCAAACGCTCAGGGCCACAATCAGGCCAGAAGTATGTAAATTAAAATAATTAACTCCCCTCGTAATGAGGCAGCCAAGTGAAAAGCATGTGCTTCATGTTTCCTGATGTAATCTGCAAACAGCATTTATTAAGTATAATTTGACACAAGTCTCAAGTGCTTGAACAAACATGCACGTAATTTACAACTGAAGAAGCTAAGTTTTACTAGGAACTTTTCTTGAAGATTGTCGTGGCTTAAGCCCAGCAGAACCACGCAGCTGCTCGCTCACTCCCCCCACTCCCAGAGGGATAGGGAGGAAAACCAAAAGAATGTAACTCCCATGGGTTGAGATAAGAACAGTCCAGTAGCTAGGGTACAATATAAAACCACTACTACTTCCACCAATAATAATAATGATAAGGAAAATAACAAGAGGAGAGGATACAATTGCTCACCACCCACCAACCTATACCCAGCCTGACCTGAGCAGCGATCTGGGCCTTCCGGGTAACTCCCCCCAGTTTCTATACTGGGCATGACGTGCTGTGGTATGGAATACCCCTTTGGCCAGTTCGGGTCAGGTGTCCTGCCTCTGCTTCCTCCTGGCTTCCCCTCTTCCCTTGGCAGAGCATAAGACTGAGAAAGTCCTTGGTCAGAGTAAACATTACTGAGCAACAACTAAAACATCGGTGTTATCAGCATTGTTCCCAGGCTGAAAGTCAAAAACACAGCACTGCACCAGCTACTAAGAAGGAGAAAACAAATGACTGCTGTAGCTGAACCCAGGAAAAAGATTAAATATTTAATTGGGTTTTAAATTAATTGCTCATTTAGCCAAGTGAGATGCTATGCTCCTTAAAAAGAATTACTACCAATTTTAATACAAAGCCCTAAATTCTACAGAATTGTTAGACTTACCCAAGTTTATATAGGGCCTTCCCAAAACATTAAGAGGACATGGGCACTTAAATTATTCAAGCTTTAACGTCAAACTCCAACTGGAGCTGAAATGATCTTATACACTCCCCTAATACCAGCCTGGGGAATTATGTCAAGGCTTTTGTTAATGGAAGATTTTTTGTACTAACCTCTCTTTAAGAGGAAACCTTTTTAAAGCACCAATACCTGACCAAAAATATGAAAAAATATGAAACAGTACTTAGGTAAAGCACAGAAGTCTAATGATGAGAAGCCAAAAATCACTTCCTGTCTTTTTAACCAGTTTTATACCATTAAAATTCTATGACTAGCAGGAGGAGAAGAAGAAAAAGCTGGATTTCAAGTTTCCCTGACACTTATTTTTATGTAACCAGAGCAGACATGACTGGGTAAAACCAATCATTAGTAAGCAGTGAAAAACATCTAAATACTCAGCCAACTGCTTTCCTTGCCATTAGGTGGCAATCTTAACCAATACTTGAACTCTGCAAAGGCCATAAAAGCAGGCTAATTCCCCATTTTGCCAAGAGGGAGATAACGTGACCTTGAATGGTTTTCCATTTGCAAATACCACCTCTATAAAAAATCCCTTCATCAAAGAGTCAAGTGGCATAACTCTGAACAAAACTTTAGTAACTGCATTAATACTTACAAGAAAATTAATAGTCACCAGTGTTCTGGAAATCTTAATCCAGCAAAACCCTGAATCATTAAACTTTCAACCTTTTCAGTTGTTTCTGATGTTAAACTTCTCACTGAAAGCACTGCAATAATCAGTGCTGTACACATTCACAGAATCATAGAACAGTTTGGGTTGGAAAGGACCTTAAGATCATCCAGTTCCAATCCCCTGCCACGGGCAGGGACGCCTCACATTAGATCATATTGCCCAAGGCTCTGTCCAACCTGGCCTTGAACACTGCCAGGGATGGAGCATTTACCACTTCTTTGGGCAGCCTGTGCCAGTGCCTCACCACCCTCACAGGAAAGAACTTCTTCCTTAGATCTAACCTGAACTTCCCTTGTTTCACTTTAAACCCATTACCCCTTGTCCTATCACTACAATCCCTGATGAAGAGTCCCTCCCAAGCATCCTTATAGGCCCCCTTCAGATCGGCCTCCTCTGGACTTGCTCAAGCAGTTCCATGTCCTTCTTACACTGAGGACACCAGAACTGTACACAGAGCTCCAAGTGGGGTCTCATGAGAGCAGAGCAGAGTGGCAGGATCACCTCCTTCAACCTGCTGGTCACACTTCTTTTGATGAGGTCCAGGACATGGTTGGCAAAAAACTGTATCCTGGTTCAGGATATTCAGGAAAGCTCTTATTAAACATTGCTATCTGCAGGGAGGGGTGGGGGGGTGAAGATGAGTACATACACAGCCTTGTCCTACACAGAAACACACCCAGAATAATGAGTAGTTGTCTTGCCCAGAGACTCAAGATTTCAGACTGAACAGAACTACGCTTCAAAGTGCATGTCAGCAGAGAAGCTGCCATTTCACCACCATTTTCAGAAGCTGAAAAAAAATTCTATTGTCTCCTATCATTGCAGGCAGAAAATACATCCTGTTTTCCATAATACAATGCATCCAAAGTACATTAAAACAAAGCTGTCATAAGCTATGGCACATAAGAATATGACAAGGAAGTTCCAGATGTTAAACTACCCTGTTCTCTACACACTTCCATTCTTCACCACCCATCATGACAACTCTGGTTGCCTTCTTAAATTCCCAATAGATACAACTCTCCAAAGCATCCTACAAGCATCTCCCCATGGACAAGAAACACCACAGCATGCTGCACCTGGTCCCAAGGCTGGTATGCAAGCACTGACCAGCGTATTTTCTCACCTCCTGAGCAACATGCAATAGCTTTACCAACTTCGAGGCCTTTCCGTTAAAAACTGACATAACTTTGAGTGTTTTTGTTTATAACAGCAGCAAAATTTACAGTACCTCTGTTTGAAAAATTGACAGAAAAGGCATGGTGACCAAATGTAACAGCCTGGTGAATGGCCTATGTGCTCGGGCTGTCAACAGGTTTGGCAATACAGTTAGACGATCCTCATCCCTCTGAGCTGTCTCAGTATTTCAGTGTAGCAAGCCCTTGAGCTTATTTGTCAGATACCACCTAAAAATTGCCACTAACATATTCAAGACAACAGAACATAAGGCTACCAGGCACAGGCATCACAGTGCCATGTTTTCTCTTTTGTTTCACATCCTCAAGAACTCAAACATAAATTGAGAAACTACAGAAGAAGTGACTAAAGACTGTAATATAGTTAGCACTCCAGACCTGAACATGGGACTAACTGCAGCCCTGAAGAGACTTGTATGCAAAGCAAAAGTACAGAGAAGCCTTGTTTTGCATGATGACAGCATGCAGCACTTAACCACCCTGTACTGGCCTACATGAACAAGAACACCCCACAGCCTTGCTGCTAAGTGTGGGTCAATGAAAAAAAAAAAATCACTTATGTGCCTCACAACCAAAGGCTCAGCTCTGTTACTGTCAGACCCTGCCACAAAAAGCTGACAGGATGCTGTTTCCACCTCACAACAGAAGAATGAAGGAGAGGACTTTCAGTGTGATGGCATTTGTCTCCCCAAGTAACTGTTACATGTAATGGAGCCCTGCTTTCCTGGAGATGGCTGAACACCAATTCACAGTTA